TGAGATCGATGGTGAGATCGATAGTGAGACCGATAGTGAGATCGAGAGGTGTCCCGCGGTGTCCCGTGCTGTCGTGGCCCGTGGTGGTCCCGTGGTGTCCCGTTGAGTGAGATCGATAGTGAGATCGATAGTGAGATCGACAAGTGTCCCGTGGTGTCTCGTGGTGTCCCGTGGTGTCCCGTTGAGTGAGATCGATCGTGAGATCGATTGAGTCAGATGCTGGTTCCCCCCCCTCTCCCCCCTCCCCATAACCTCCTTATCACCCGAAGGGTGGTCGTACAGATATGGATTCCAAGGTTCCAATCCACTGTAGGTGCCTTCCTGCTTCAAAGATGGAGCGACTTCCCCTCCTTTCCTCCTCTTCAGGGGGTGGTCGAAGACCCAATACGCTTCCAACGCCTTCCTGCTCCATGTCGCTAGCTACTTCTTCCGACCGATGGGTAAGGGTCTTTAGTGTTGCGCTCAGCCCCCCGCCCCGTCCCTCTTGGCGGGGAATGAGCTCGTCCCTCCTCCCGCGCCTCCTCCCTCTTTTCCTCCTCGCCGCAATCGTCGTCGTCGTCATCATCGCAATCGTAGTCGTCGTCATCTTCGTCGTCGTCGTCGTCGTAGTAGTCGTTGTTGCGCGGCGGGTGCCGCGGATGAATGATTTTTTTCCGCTATTGGTGGGACCCCAGTCCTTCAATAATGTCTCCGAATGAATCGTTGGTTCCCCCTATGAGGGGGGAATCTCTAAAGATCCTTATGGATTACGTGGCACCTTCACAAAGAGGCGCAGGCCGCATCGGTCATCGTGTCGAGAGGATCGCCCCACTGAGGGTGCATTCTGCAGAATCTTGCCTGCGAGAAAAACCTCTAAAGGGGGCGCATGACGATGCACTGCCATCCCCCTGGGGCTGCGTTACCACCCGCCCCTGCCGAGGCTCGTCGAGAGGGCCGAGGAGATGAAAGAGGAATGGAATGGCAAGGCAGGATGAAGAGATCATCGACGCGCTTCTTCATCTATCCATTCTTCTCTCTCCTCTCATCGGCATCACCCCAACATACAAATCCTGTGTGTGCATCGCCCCCCTTAGGGGCGATGCGCGCACAGAGGCGTCTTTTAGTATATGCGTCGTGGCGGGCGCTTCCTGACCCACCGCTCGGGAAACGATAGACTATATTTGTGTGCTATATGCTCGGGTCGGACGCACGGTTCCGAGGAGGACGCGCAGTACAAGTAACAAGTACGTCCTTGCGCGTCCTACCTCTCCCGTTCCTCTGCCGCCCTCCTCCTCCTCCTCGCCAACTTCCACTTCGGATACAACTTCTGTGAGGTCAAATTCTGACTTTGCGCTGGTCCGAAGTCCCGTTTAATCCGGTTTCATCCGGTTCAATCCTGCTTATTCCGGTTTAATTCTGCATCCGGTTTAATCCCGCTCAATCCGCGGCAAAATCCGGCGTAGCAGCCCACCAATGGGGCTTCATCTTTTTTAGTTCGCCAGAAGAAGATGGACTCCGAGCTTTCGATTCTCGCTGTTCGCCCTTCGGGACGTCCCCCCCCTCAAGATCGCAGGCCTCGAGGTTGACACCAACACCAACATCGGCGGTGTGCCTCTACCGAGGGAAGAAGATCCCGACCTCGGCGATGGTGGTAATATTCTGGCTTCCAAGGTGACCGAACTATTACCACCAACACCGAAATCTAGGATCACCTCCCCCCTGTGGAGGCAACCCCCTGTTTTGGTGTTGGTGCCCATTTCCAGGCCTCCAACAAGATGCAGCCCCCTTGCCATGTCCCGGGCTGCGGTTTATGGCCAGGATCTTGGGAGGCGCGCCCAGCCGCGGCGACCAGAGGCCCCTCCTAGACGCACCATAATGTGCCAAAGCGGCCAGAGATCTCCGATCCGCTCCTCCTCCTCCTCCTCCTCCTCCTCATTCTCCTTCTTCTCCTCCTCCTCCTCCTCCTCCTGTGCCTCCGCCTCCTCCTCCGCCTTCGCCTCCACCTCCTCCTCCTCCTCCTCCTCCTCCTCCTTCACTTCCTCCTCCTCCATCCTCCTCCTGGCCCAGGTGCCGGTGCTGTCGATGTGCGCCAAGACCGGGCGGGAGTTCGGGCGCTTCCACCGCTTCGCGCGGCCCGGCTACTGGGACCGCGAGTTCCGCTCCATGAGGCGGGGAGTGCAGGTCATCAGCTTGGAACGCGCCCCTTATCCCCATGCTCGGCATCACCTCACCTTACCTCCGCTGGTGCCAGTCTTAAGGAGCTCCTCCGCTTCTGAGGGCACATACCGAAGGCTGTCATCGCCTTGGGCGTGTCAATCTTGGGGACAGGGACGAGCTCGAAGCTGGTCAGCACGGCCCAGCCGCGTGCCGTGCCCTGTCGTGATCCCCCCCCAGGGGATGCAGGGCGGGAGGATACTCGGCGGCGAGCTCGGGGACGAGGGCAGTGCCCACTTGCCCGGCGCCCACTCCGCCACGGGGCCGAGGGTGACGACCGGGAGCAGGATGGCAGCCACCACCGTGAGGACGTGTGGCCTGCTCAGCTGCGCGTGAGAGTGGCCCTTCGGTGCGGGCCCACTGGGCTCCCCCCACTCGCCGGACGCGGTGAGGCAGTAGCGGCCTGCGCGCTCGGATCTGGTCCCGCGGCGGCGCCCATGAAGCCGCGCACCAGGGGTCACTCTTACCTACGCAGGGTCGCTCTTGCGTGCAGCCGACATGCGCGTGCTGTCTGCGCAAGCAGGAACAGAGCTCTGGGGGCAGAGCTATTGCGGTGGATGCTCGGTGGGAATTGGGCGCAGTGGCGTCCGGGGTGGGAGGAGGGGGAGGGGGAGATGGGGGAGGGGGGGGAGGGGCGGAGGGGAGGAAACAAAGGAAGAACGGATATTGTCGGACGGAGGCATGAACACAAGGTGCGCTGCGCTCTTTTGCGGCGTACACTGGTGGGGTTAGCGCGAGGGGGGTGGCCTTCTAGAAGGCGGGGGAGCTTCTAAGAAGGCAGGGGCCTTCTCAGAAGCGCTCCCTGCTTCTAAAAAGCCTTTTTGGACGCCTCCAGGCCCTTCTCTGAATGCCCCCGCCTCTGAGAAGCGCGCCGCCAAGCTCTGACGAGAAGGAGGGAGGAGGGGGTTGGGGGGTAGGAGGAGGGGGCGAGCTGCTGGGCGGCCTCTGGCGGCAGATCAGCAGAACCCTCCAAAGGGGTAGTGCTGAGATGCTCCTGAGCGCGCTCGGGCGCTAGGCCGGCGGGCCCTTGGCACGGCCACCGCCAGCTCAACCACCGCCGACGCGGCAACCACCACGACCGCCACCAGCGCCGCGACCACAACCGCCACCTGCACGACAACCACCGCCGCCACCACCAGCACGACGACGACCCTGAGCACGACAACCGCCACGACCGCCAGCACCACGACCACGCCCAACGCCGGCACGACAATCACCACGACCACCACCATCACGACAGCGCCGCGACCACGACCACCAACACCACCGACCCGACCGCCCCCGCCCCCGGCCACACCTCTCCTTTCCTCTCCCCGCCCCTGCCTGGCCGCCCCTGCTGCCGCACGCGCCTTGCGCGCTGGCTGGCCGGCACAGAGGGCACGGGCAGCCTTCGGCCCGCGTCGCACTCCGGGGCCCGCCTCAAGACGAGGCTGGCCCAGGGCGCACTGGACCGTGGACGGTCCCCCTCTGGGCGGCCCCCAGAGAGCCAGTGGGGGCGCCATCCCCGCGACTGGCGGAGGGGGGAGGGGGAGGGGGTGGGGAGTGGGGAGTCGGAGGAGGGAGGAGGGAGTGGAGGAGGGAGGAGGGAGGAGGAGGGAGGGCGGGGATGGAGAGGGAGGAGGATGGGAGGAGGGGGAGGGTGTGGGGGTGGGGGGGGGCCCCTGGCCGTGGTCCGCCGAGCCCGTCGCCCTCTCCCCCCCCGACGCGGCGAGGCGGCGGTTCCCAGCGGAGTGCTTCAACGACGGCTCGAGCGCGGTGCCCTTCCCGGAGGTGCGCCTCCCTCCCTTGGGGACCCCCCCCCGTGGACCCGGACTTGAAGCTTCGAGGATCGCACTCCGATCGAAGAACCTGCAGCAGTTGCATAAGCATGAGCTTTCGATGGCCGCTGCGCGTGCGTTGGGTCTGAGCTGGGTCCCCAGGGCAGCGTTGCCCGCCCTGGCGCGTCTTGCGCGCCAAGGAGATGGGTGGGGTCCACTGCCGATCCTGGGATTCCACGCGGCGATCCGGTGCAGTTTTATCATTCTGCGAGACCCAGGCGTCTCACTTTCAGGGTGGGAAAAACGCACCGACACAATTCATCGTCGACTTTCAGGGACATGTGGGAAAATATGGGAAGTGGGGGGAAAGACAAAGACCGCCCAAATATGGGGCCCTATGGGGAATCCTGGGATTTGTGTGTATTTATTGTAGTGGCCTTCGGCCAGTGCCGCCGATCCGGGTCGCTCGGGGTTATTCTCCAGACGCAGAAATTATGGGCGCACACTCAAACGCACACACACAGTCACACCACTTAACCTGCGCCGCAGACATGCGCACACAGCATCACCCACACACACATACTAGTTGGGAAACGCTCCTGTAGTACTAGTAGTAGTATTATTAGTAGTAGTAGTAGTAGTAGCAGTAGTAGTAGTAGTAGTAGTAGTAGTAGTGGTAGTAGTAGTAGTAGTAGTGGTTGTGGTAGTAGTGGTAGTAGTAGTAGAGGCCTCGTTCCGCGGCTTCTCTCGACTTCCCGCGGTCTCTCTCAAGTTTCGAGCACGCGGTGAGTTTCACGATATATGTGTGTGTATGTACGCGTGCATGCATGTATGCATGCATTGATCATGTGTGCCTGTGTGTAGGTACGTATGTATGTATGTATGCTTGTGCGCGTATGTATGTATTTAGTTTGTATGTATGTTTGTATGTGTGTATGATAATATGTGTGTATGTGTGTGAATGTAAGTATGTATGTCTGGAAGATTGTTTTTCTATGTATGCAAATGTGTTTAAATGTAGGTATGTATGCATGTGTGTATGGATGTGCGTTTGAAGAGCGAGGATGTTTCAAAGAAGAGGCACTCGGTGACGCGATCGTTGAGGGATAGGAGTGAGGTCGCAGAGGAGGAGGAGGAGAATGAGGAAGAGGCGATAACTTGAAGGAAAACGATGAGACGGAGGACATCCTGCCGGTGGCGCCCTGGGCGGTGCCGCGGAAGAAACCGGGGGCCTGCCGGAGGCAGTCTGGAGGCCTCTGGGGAGCTGTTTTGGGGCCTCTTGGAACCTCTTTTGGGCCTCTTGTGGGCTTCTTGGGGCCCCTTGGGGGTCTCTTGGGGCCTCCTGGGGGCCTCTTGGGGCGGAAAGCTCGGTTCTTTCGGTTCGTGGTCCCCCTCTTGGGCCCCTCTTGGGGCTCTCTTGGGGCCTTCTTGGGCTGTCCAGAGGCCCTCTTGGGCCGTCTTGGGGCCCTCTTGGGCCGTCTTGGGGCTCTCTTGGGCCGTGTTGGAAGCATCGTGGGCCGTCTTGGGACGGACTTGGGGGCCTCTTGGGCCGTCTTCGAGCGTCGGACGCCCGAAAAGGCAAGAACGCTAAAAACCCTGAAAAACCAATGAAAATCAACGATTCTGGCCTCTTGGGGCCCTCTTGGGAGGCCTCTTGGAAGCTTCTTGGGGCGTCTTGGAGACACCTTGGGCCGTCTGGAGGCCATCTCGGGCGTCTTGGAGCGATTTTTCGGCGACTCGGGGCCCTCTTGGAACCCCTTGGGGGTCTCTTGGGCCCCCCCCCTCCTCCAAAGCGCCGGAAAAAGCGGAGCATGGCGCCCCCCCCCCCCCTATCTTCCACTCCCCCGGAGCGGCCCCGGGGTTCGCCGGAAACTCGCACCCCCCCCCCCCCCCCCACCCCCCCTTCCCCGGCAGAGCCACCCCGGCGACCCCCCCAGAGGCTGAAGCTCAGCCTCGAGGCTGTAGCTGAGACTCCTTGAAACTCACACGCCGGATCGGCGGATTTGTGTGTCCCTGGGCCCCTTCAGTTTTGTCATTCTGCGAGACCCGGGCGTCCCACTTCTAATGTCGAGTGGTTTTGTTTTGCGCTCCGGGCCGTTTTTTTTTTGTTGTTAGGCGGGGGGCTCCGCGAGAGGCACCCCGTCTCCGCGGCCGGCCTCGCCCCGAGGTAGTGTCCGGGGGAGGGCCTCACACGTTTCTGGGCCTCGGCCTCTTGATGGGGTCGGAGTAGGGGAGTAGGGTTGAGTCGGGCGTGTCCATCTACAGGAGGAACATTCGAAGATAGGAACCGAAATAGTTTGGGGACAATTTTGGGGTCATTTGGAATGTTTTTGAACATTTCCGGAGTTTCTTGTTTCATGTATCAACAAATGATCATCCAACATCCGCCTGTAGGGGGACGCCCGACCTAAGAGTAGCGGTCTGTTTTTGTAAGGTCTAGGCGATAACGGCCGTGATCGGGCCTTTCTCTCTCTCTCCCCCCTCGTATCACGTTACGCTATTGTGCTCGCACGCGTGCGAAGATTCCTCGTGAATTCTTCGAGGATTTTTTCTCAGATTTCTGGCGCCCCCCCGCCGTTCTGTGATCGGGGGGGGGACCGAATTTCCCCCCCCCCCCCCCACCTCCCCCATCGTGGGGGTGGCGCATTTTCGCCCCCCCTCCCCCCCCCCGGATGATCACGCCTGTAATCGCGAAAAAGAATAAAAAGAAGCTGGCTCTGGATGGGGTCGGAGGATCGCGCAGCAGCGCCGATGCATCGCCGATGCGGCTCGATGGGAAGCCCAGTTTCTCCACGCCGACGTCGCCGATGCACCGCCGACATCACCGATGCATTGGTGATGCGTCGGCGATGCCGCGCGATCTTCCGACCCCATCTACTCGGACCCCATCTTGGAGGTCTTTTGCGATCCTCGGGTCGGACAAACAGACAAACTGGGGGGATAGGGAGAGTGGGGGGTTCGGAATTTGCTGCATGCAGCTGGTTTCGGCCACGCCGCTGGACGTGCTCCTCGATACGGTGCCAGGAGGCGCCGACAGGACCAGTTACACGGGCTGATTCGCGAACCCTCCCTTCGCTATCCCCTCCTCTCGTCCGAACCGAGATCCTCTTCGACTCGAGCCTTGAACTTCGACGACCGAACTTCGAGCCGTCGAGGTTGCTGGGCGCCGGGGGGCCTGCCCGCCGCGCCAAGAACAACAGCATTGGCGGGATGCGTTTGGTCGTGTTCTGCCTCTTGGGGCCCTTGCTGGGGCATGGGGCCGTAAACAAAAACGGCTCGGGGTGGAACGTGATCGTTGTTTTATTCATTGTTTTGCCGATCGGTGCGGGCCCTCGCACCCCCCCCCCATGGAGTAGATCTTGGCTGGCTTGGGTGCCTGTTTCGAGCACGGGAGTCTCCCCTATGAGGCACACTGCTGCAAACACTCGTATCGAGCAGAGGTTCAGAGCCAGACTTCCCCCTCCCTGCTCCTTCCGCCCAGTGTCGAAACGCCGAATAAGAAAACGCTCACCTGGAGGGGTGTCGGGACTTCTAGTCAGGATATGACAACTGGCACCCATGCATATGCGACCCCTGGATTTCTCGGGGGTAGTTCAGTGGGGGCTGTGGGGGTGTACTGTCGCCCGCTTGAAGGGGAGCCCCCTTGAGGTCCGACAGCACGCACCCGTACCTACAGCGCCTCCATCGCCTTGCCCTTCTCCATTGCTCCACTCTATAGGTGGTTTGAGTGTGTATTGTTCTTTCATGATCTGAAGGTCCACGCAGCGAAGAAATCACGACACCGTCGGGATCCTGGGTCCGACATCGTGTTCCGTTGACCGCCGGCGCGCGAGAAGCGGTGCAGCATGATGGGGGGGTCCTTTGATAAAGCAGGGTGGCTCCTAGATCGGTACGATCGAACTGGGTACCGAATTCGGTACCCAGTTCGATCGTATGGCCGGTACGGCCGAAGGGATGGGCACGAAGACCTGCAGCAGTCCCTGCCCATTTTGAACCAGACTCGTTGTCGGCGCTGCTTCGGACGTTGCCCATTTAAGACAGAAGGCCATCTGCCCAACAGCGGCCGTTGTTGGTTTTGACAACATGTTCAGTTTGGCATCGCGCCCACTTTTCCGTACCCATTTCGGGCGTCTCAGTTCGAGCGTCTCAATTCGAGGGCCTTGGAGGTTTCCATCCCAGACCCCTTGGCTTCGTCAGCAAAAATCACGGCGGGCGGCAGCGGGTTTCTGGCGGTGTCGGTCTTCTGCCGTCCTTTCCTGGGCTTTCGGGCCGTCAATAAAAGAGCACTCGGGATAATACGGCGCTTCTCCAGAAGGGGTCGAGTTTTCCGTGGGGTCCGCGCTGCGACGAACATCACGACGCCAGGAATCGAATCATGGAGCTGCTTTGCAGGCGGGAGGGCTTTGAGAAGCCCCCTGGGCTTCTGGGCTTCTCAGAAGGCCACCCGCCTCATGCCGCCTCCTTTCCACCACCGGCCAAACCACCCCAACCCAACCCGAAGGCCTCAATTTGCCCTCAATTTCCAGTGTGGGGGGGGGTCGGGGACCATTGAAAAAACGCATGGAACCCGTACCCCCCTAAACCCGAAATTCGGATCAAATTCGGGTCTTCGGGTTGGGTTGTGGTGGTCTGGTAGGTGCGCGCCGCCAATGGTCCATTCGATCTTGCCCTGCTCCGCGGACGGCTTGCGAGCACCGTACCGCGTTGGAGTCTCCCGAGGCGTCGATCTTCGGCCTAGGAGTGGCACGGTGCACAGGTGTTCTTGACCCTCGGGGCCGGAAAGGATGGAGCACCGGGCGGTCCGACCGAGGTACAAGGTCGAGGTCGGTTCGGGGAGGGTACCCTGATGTTCTCCTTGATCCATCCTGGGGGAGGGTACCCTCGAATGTTCTTCGTTTGGCCGGCGGAGGTTCTCATGTTCTTGAAGAATGTCATTATGTCTTAGGTCCGACTGTACCGCGTTGGCGTATCCCGAGGCGTCGTCGATCTTCGGCCAGGGAGTGGTACGGTGCA